TTTCCTTAATTCAAGGTTATAATTTCTTGAAAAAGATCATTAATTCAGGAGTACATGAAAAGCAATAATATTAATAATTATAATAAGGTTGGGATTTCCCATCATTAATCTAGTCTTCCCAAACACATAATCAAACTTCCATTGTAATTCAACTTTCTTCCATTTAATAATCATAATGTACAGACTAGTTTGCTTGTATCTTGACTAATTTTACTAGATATTTGTTATTTCCTATCAACAATAGGTATCCGGTAACTCTGTCTATCAAGACTCAAATAATATTTAAAAGTAGAAGGTTTTATGCATTTGCTAGGTACAATAATTCATATATAAAATCTTATAAATTGAACTTATGTTTGGAGGATCCAAAGGTTATTAGACTTTGATCACCACCAAGGGGTGCGGTGAAATGAATGTGATTTAGCTCTCCAGCCTTAATTAAAGGTTTCGATTAAATTTATGTCCTCAAACAGAAAAACTATAGTAAAAAAACGTTTTTCGTCGTGTGAGAGTGAAACACGAATCTAAATCAGTTAAGCCAACATGCTCAATACTAGATAATTTTTAATCCTCCTTTTACTAAATTATGCTTCCGTATAGAAATTTTCTTGTTGCACTTATATATGGTGACTTTCATGCATGTAATATCATGTATTTTATTCAGTACACCATGCTTTGGTAGGTTAAGACTTTTTTTGATAATCAAAAGAAAAAATAATATTTTTAATATGGAAAAATAATTGAAAATACATAGCATTTCTTTGTTAACAAGTTTTGAAACTCTCTTGGTCTTTCTATTTTCCTAAATTTTTGTGGAAAGAGTTATCTGATATTCCTGTATGAAGGTCAGAATGTTATGTAAAAAGGACCAAGGAGGATACTACTCTTTTTTCGCTCATTCAGATGAAGAAATTCCGTGAAGACGACGAGAGATGCCGCCTGCTCTTTCCGTTCCTTCTCTTTCGGAGTGGAGCACTCCTCTTTGTTCTGTTCCTTTCGAATAAAAGCTTGGTACGTGTTCTGAGTGAGCCTTCACGCGAGGTGAACGGTACCTATAAAGTGGAATCTATATGATAGAATATAGTAAATGCTAACTACAATTTATTTAAAATCTAACAAGAAAAAGAACTATGGTCCCGCACTCATAAATTGAAAAACCAAAATTCATTTATGTCAGTACCTATTTTTGTGACAGGTGAAAATTAAAACCTACTCCTTGACTTCCTCTGTCTGTACTGTTGACTTGACACATATCTTAAGAAATAATGAGGTAATATTATTATATTATTTTTTGAATATATTAAATTTAATGCTTTGGAAAATGTATTGGATATTGAATAATATTTAATAGCAAGAGTAAAATAGACATGAAAGGATATATTATCTCTTGATTTTTCAAATTGAATAAGTATTGTCGAACAACTATTTTTAGTTTAATAGACAGATAAAAATGAACAGAGGAAGTAACAAGTACTAATATAATAGTAATCAATAGGGGGCGAAGTTAGCGTGTGGAAAACGAGTTTGTCTGAACACCACTATTATCCTATTTCTTTTTTAAAAAAGAAGTTGAGAAATTCTCTTGGTTTAAATAAATCTAGGGCACACATGTACATTTTATTAATTTTTTCCCTTTCTCATGTGTTTTAACTATAGGTGTTTTGGATTTTCATGGAGAAAAATATTGATACGTTTCCAAGAAACATAAGATGAGTGACTTCCACCGTCCATTGCGTATTATTTCTTTTTTTGTCGACGGAATGGAGTTAGGTAGGGTTAAAGGAATTGGACAGAAAATTACACTATTTATATATATAATTAAAAATTATTATTCATATATATATAATATACGTTGAACCCTTTCAGCTTCTTCGTGGGTTCACTTTTTCATATTTTAACCCCTCAAGTAAAAAATTTGGCTCTGCCAAGTTGTCCTCTAAACAAACATATCCAAAACCCTATGTAATAGCTTTTATCCCAAATATGAGTTGTGGTGCAATGGTGAGATTGCTTCACCCTTTGCCAGAAGTCTCAGGTTCGAGCTCTGGGTATGGAGAAAAACTTGTTAAGAGCGTCACCCTCAAATGGATCCTGTAGTGCGCGATCCGAATTTAGTCGGAGCTCTAATGTGCATTCCGGACACCGAGTGGAAAAAAAACTTTGTACTAAAAAAATTGGTACAAAAGCTAATAAATTTCCAATGGCCTGATTCTTGCTTAATTTTTTGTAAGCAATTGAAATATTTACTTTTAAAACAATGTGGAAAAGCTGATTTAGATAATGGATAATGATACCATTCACACTCACAACTCACAAGACAAAAATACCTATTCAAAAATACCAATCAATGGTTTTTTTCTTGTGTGGGGAAAAAAGGGTCATTTTTTGTACTAATTAAAGGTCAACTAAATCATTTAAATAACACTATTATATAGCTTTTTTTTATATATTAAAAAAGCTCAAGATTTTCCTAGGAAACTCATTTGAGAAATATTTTATACTTGTCTGGCAATTTTCAACATGTTCTTAAGGGAAGCCCTACAACCCACATTAGCTGGGTCCGGTGAAGGGCCGTACATCAAGTGGTGTGGTGTAAGCAACCTATCCTAGTGGTTTCCATGACTCAATTCGTGACTTATAAATCACACATAGACAACTTTATTGTTATTTCAAGGCTTCCCCTTCACTTTGAAGGGTCGTTTAATTGGAAACAAATTATCGCAGAATAAGTTATTCTACCGTGTATAGGGGGTAATTTATCCTGTCACTATGATAAAAATGGTGTAATAAATAATCCAAAGACTACCTAAATACCTCCAACCAAACATGGGATGAAATAATCCTACATTTTATATCCTAAGGGGTCGTTTGGTAGAAAAATAAATAATGTAGGGATTAGTAGTGCAGGGTGTATTTTTTATCAAGTGTTTGGTTCATTGCTTCTAACCTCATCTTGTATTTGGATTAAAATTCTACAAAAAGCTTCTTTCCAATTATACCCTTGCATTATTATGAGATTTTTTATTTTATGTAATCGGTCAAGGTAGATAATTGCCGGACAATATTTTATTTTTATGGCCTTCTAACTAGCTAGGAGAAGAACAATTTTGTTGTCATGTTTGTTATTTTCTCACTTGAATTATTTGAGGGTAAACAATTGTTATCTTAATAAATTAATCACTTAAAAACATTAATTTTCAATTTAAAATAGATAGACCATCTACTTTAAAATCGAAAAGACGATAAAAATAGTAAAATCAAATAAATCATCTATATTTACATATAAAAATTGCAAGGTGTAGTTTTAATATGTATGCAATTTATAAATTGTTCAAAATACAAACAATTAGAAACCACATATAAACCAACAAATAAATATTCAATTAAGATCACAAATGTCATGTGGTAATATATTTGCCTTTTCAATTAGTAAATGTTAAACAACTCACATTTTAAATATTGTATTGATATGCATTGTATTTATTTATTAACAAACAACTCTCTCTAAATAATAAAATTTGTAAGGTAATTTATTTAAATAAATTTACTAGTACAAATATAAAACATAAAATCAAGAAAATAAATAAAATAATTTGAGGGATATTTTTGTCTTTACATAGATAATCCCATGGTATTAAATCCAATGTATTTACTAATACCATTACATAGAAGGTATTAGTAATACCTCCTAATAATACCATGTCGGGTGTATAACTAAACTTATGCCCAAAAATTCTACCAAACATAGTACTAAATAATACTCCATACATAATACATGGATTATTTCTCCTAATACATCCTACCAAATGACCTCTAAGGCTATTATACCTTCTACCTTGCACCAAACGACTTCTAAACATATTCTTCTAAGAAGTATATTGACTTATTTAATACTTCTAAGTTAGATAGCATAGATCAGCAAGTTTTAGAATCCAAAAAAGTTTAAAATTTTAGACATTATTATTGTAGAAAAGGGATATATAATTAATTCATACATACACATCACATGTCACCTTTGCCACCACATAATGGCCCATGGAGCTCATTAATTGTTCACAAAAAACTATTTGGACTTCAAAAGGCACACATACTATAACTTGGTCTTTCAGCTTTGATCAATTGACTCAATAATGAAGATTTAAGTTCAAAGGAAAATAAGAATCTCAGCTCTCATGTTGAGAGATTAAGACACTAGGTTGATTAATATTAAATACAATTCATGAATTGACACAATTTCTGAGCTCAAAAACAACTTGAAGAAATTAACAAGAAAATGCAAAGGACTTTCTTGCATAGAATCAACTTCAAGTTTCATGAAATCTTTATCGTTCTGCTTAAATAATCAAAAACCCCACAACGGCGAAAAATAATTCTATTTTCTTTGTCAAAGGATGAAGAGGCTCTCCCTGAAAATATGCTTGAAACAGGCTACTCCTCATCTGAGTAGTTGAACTTGACGGAGTGCGATTGCAAGTCAATTATCCCTCCTCTGTAACTGCCTCGCTTCTTCTTGGTTTTCTCATGTCGGAAATCCCTGGGAAATAGCATGGATAATTAAGCTTTGCCATTGCGACAAAAGTAGAACCTATGCAGACAATCAACACGCTCAGGGTTCTCACTTAGAGAGCATAGCACTTCATAGTTTCAATAACCCCCACTCACCGAAAAAAAGAGAAACATTGTAACATGCCCTTCGTTTAACTACCAGGAAAAGAACTAGTAATCCTTTCATCCCAATTTAAGTGTGTTACTAAACTAAAGAAGTGAGCCTAAACTTGCCAGGTAGGATGTTGAAATTGGATACTTACAAAATAAAGAAAGAAACACTTTTTTTTTGGGAAGAAACAAAAAGAAAGAAAGAAACTTCAATTGGGACGGAAGGAGTAATACTTAACAGAAAGATGAGAAGAGGGGATGGAAGGAGGGGACTATGGTAAATACCTTGGTGCAAAATGAAAGTTAGTGCTATTGAATCTTGATTAGTATACTTGTAAGATGATTTGTAATTTTCCTAAGCATAGTAGCATTAACAAATGTAAGCAATCTAGTATTTTTCCCTACTTCCCCTTGACATCTGAGTTCAGAAATTTATATTTTAACTCACGCGAGAAGAGCTGTCAACTAGGTAACCTCTATTTATAAATTAATTCATCTTCGTCAAAAGTAAATTCAAGTTCGTTAAACTTCTGGACAGGATTTGGAAAAATATACCTTCCTTTCACCTGGCCCAAAACCTCCTGTGCCTTTGCACCATAGCCAATGTCTGCACCATCCTGCAACAGTTGTACGTGGAGAAGTGGAAAAGTTAGTTGAATGGCAAATGATGAATATCCAACATATATACTTAATGAGCATAAAAGCTGGAAGACGAGAATCTGATCATACCTTTGCCCAATAAGAATTATCTTTAAGTCTATCATCTTTAAACTCCACCTGATCAATTTTCACTCTTTGAAAGGCATTTACGGTTTTTGGCTGCAATAGCAATCAAAATGCATTTTCAGAACATCAGTAATAAAAAAGCAAGCACATTCATAATTCTTCCCAACAACAACCACCATATAAATCATCTGTTAGCCAATGTAACATAGCCACACAAAATTACGAAGGAACGACAGGACATGAAACCAAGCAAAAGAACGGTGTACGACACAAGCTGCAATCATCAATTTTAATATGAAAGAACAAAAGAAATATTCTGTTAGGATTACAGGAAAGCTTCCCTCCACCCCTTTCTATAATTAAAGATAAAGAATCCCATCAGTTTTGCCTCAAATATGAAAAATTCCAAAAAAGCTAATCGTGTCGGCAAAGATGGAAAGCTACCTATGCAGTGGAGAGACTGCAAGGCTGGGCCTTAACTAGGTAAACATGACCTATGTTTTTTTCCACTGTACTTTTGGCTGTTGTGAGTCTCAAACTTACAGTAGTATGGTTCTCTTCCTCAAGATTGCATACTTTCTCATTATCTAACTTGAAAAGAGGCAACTAAATATGTCTGGCATTATATTCCAATTAAACTATATTGTCTGAATGGTCAAAATAGGTACTCTCTTTGTTTCAATTTATGTGGCTTGATTCGGAGGAGGGTCAAACTAACTGAAGTTCGGTGTGAATTCAAACATAGATCATCCATTTTTTTAGAACATACTGAGAAACTGCATGAAAGTACTATAAGTCACAGTAGTTAACAATTCAAAATATTTGAAAAAATTATGGTCAAGAAAACATCCTTTGACTCTCCAAATAATAACTAAGACACATAAATTGAAATGAATGGAGTATTTAACAAGACTTATCTTTTGTGTTAAAACCAAGGAAAAGAATATGATGAGGAGAATTATGAGCTAAAGTCAATTTAGAAAGAGAGGAAATGAGAGAAACTAAAGGAGAGCTCATATGTTACATGAACAAAAACTTAAGTTTCTTCCCGCCCAAACTATGAGGAGATTGTTATCCCTCATTATCCATCTATCAAAAGGATACCTAGCCTCATCCTTCTTCAGATTGTTCCGCTATTTCTCACAATCTGGTTGAACTACAATCCTCACTGTTCAGACCTTTTTCTTTTCTTTTGTATTAATAAATCCCTCTGTATCAAATCATATTATGATGTCTCATTATCCATAATCTGTTCTGTAGCATAAAGTCCATAAATCAAAAATAAAAATAATGCCCACTTAATCCTCCACACAAGGACATATAAATCCTCTGCAAATGCCCGAGTTTACTTGCTGAAATCTCAAAGATCAAACAATTGAAATTAACTCAAGCATGCTTCAAGATTATTTATTAAAAAACTTGACACAAACATGACGGAAAGTCATTTTGAAGGATTTGAGATTATTCTGCAATTAGGAATTCTTTTAGATCATTTTTCCTTTAGTACATAACACACAATTTAAGAATTGTTTTTTGAGAAACTGTCAGGTAATCACCATTTCAAGAGTTGTACTACGACATTAAAATGCAAATTACGAACCTCACTTGTTAAACATTGGTACACATTAACAATCCAAGGCCAAAAAAGGTAATAGAAAAAGGACACATGCATACCTCTGCTGATCCATTAAAGTCTTTCCTTGATGATTTCTGCTTAGCAGAGTTGTTCAACTCATCCTGATTATTACCATTAGAGTTTGCTTCAACAACTTCACCGTTTTGTTCAATTCCATTGTCTGTGCAAAGAGCCTTCGATTCTTCCAAGTCTTCGGTCTTTCTGCGCTTTGATTCTTCAGTTTCAACCCCATCAACTCCCTGATTTGCATTTTCATCAGAAGCTAATCTTTTTCTCTTCTTGGAATCCTTAGAATCAGTAGCTCCACTCTTTTCCTTGGACTTCTTCTTTTTATTTGTTTCCACAGTAAGATCATTATTATCATTGTCGATAGGGTCTACATTTTCTGGTTTCTCCTCAGTTTTCTTCTTTTTCTTCTCCTTCTGCTTCTTCAAAGGAACGTCTGCCTATAATGGAAAAAGAGTATCATCAGCACTCTTCTTATGCTTCAGTTTTTCTCATGATAACTATCTAGTCGCTCGTATTTTTACATGTAAATTTGATTGCTAACCTTATCATCTGCTAAAACCTCTTGAGCAGTAGCACCATTTTTCATGGATTTATCAACACTTTCAGGATGAGACGCATCTGGAATAGCAATATCATTGTATTCACTTCTCTTTTTCTTCTTGTTCTTGCTAACTTTTTCCTGAGAGTCAGCATCATTGCTACTTATGTTTTTTCCCTTCATGCCGTCTTGACACAGCGCTGCACACCAAATTGTGAAAGATAAAATCAAGTTAGAATAACACCCGTAACATCACAAATACAAGCCTCATGAAAGAAACTAAGTTTAAGATGAATGAAGATATATGATAAATTACCTGGCTCTTTGTCGCCCTTTGATAATGTATCATTATCAGTGCTGCATATTTGAGGAAGGTCAAGTAGCATGAGAGAAGGAATTGGAAAGTTAAATTACTATAAACAACTGCACAGACAAGTAAGAAGGAAGCAGGGGATGTTTGGCCAAAGTAACCCACCAAACAGCATCCCACATACAAGAGATGTCATATTCATTGTGTTGGACACAATTTACTCCCAACCCCCCAAACTACTCTCGATCAACAAACTTAAAAAGATAAATTCTTGCTTGAGAATCATTATAGTTGCGTACTTGTGAATGTTTAAAATCAACTATTCCTTATGGCAACCAACTGTGCACTCTAGGGTCATTGAAGTGGGTTGAGAACCGTGATGTCTCAGGTTCAAATTCCACGTATCATCAGGATAAGATTTTCTTTTTTATGACAAGGGAAACCCGCAGCCGCTACCCTTTAGGTGCGCACAGGGTTTTGCTCCTATGCAATAGCTTGCAAACCACACACAGGAGAGGAAAGTGATTACATACCTGTTGTTTAGATACTTGCTGTACAAATCCTCCAAACTAAGGGAACAAGACTTCCAACTGTCACTCTGCATCAAAAATTCAAAAAGCAGAAAGACATGATTGACTGTACCAACATCCTAGTATAGAGGTTAGTTGCAGATTCTACAGAGACATCCACAGATCAAACTTTCGATCGAAATGAAGGAATCAACCAGAAAGTACATATGAAATTTCCAACAAAACCTGTAAACACTAAAGGATCAGTGAGACCTAGCACAGTTTTCAATCAGTGGAACAGAATGCCAGACGTGATAAAAGATGTTATTAATTCAATAAGTGAAGGTTTCTTCGACATAGTAATACTAACACAAGTACAGAAACCTTCAATTACTTTCTTTTTTCTTCTTCATAAAACAAAAGCAATTTTCGACGTTGACTATGTAACACTATCATACAACATACGAATGAGAACACAATTAACAAGCCAAAACAACAAGCTCTTGTTGAAGACTTTTTTCTGCATGGGATAACAGATAAGAAAGAACAAATGCTGTCTAGTTTAAGAGGAAATCATTGTTTTGGCAACCTCCTAGTTTAACTTATTAATCCCCTCGCCCCTATTTCATATCTTCCGTCACTTATTCCTATGAGTCAATAAAACATATTCAGATTCTACCAAGACTTTTCACCATATACTCAACTTCTTCCCAATGAAACCAAACACTCGCCCTTATTTTGGTTAGACAAGGAAAACCAACCATCCTACTTAGATCAACAAAATGCAATTCATCAAAGATAAGATATATAGTATAAACATAGCTGAAAAGTGCAGTTTATACAGCATCCCACAAGCTCCATCAAACCAGAGTTATATTTTTTATTCCTACTCGATTACCCAAGAATTATACTCCCTTGCTCCATATTTCTACCCCATTGCTACTATTTGACAAGTGTTACTTCTAACTATAAAAATCATGTAACCTGTAATACTTCTCTGCATCTTTTGTATACATAAATCTTATTGCAAAGTTAGGAATATGAGAAACATTAAAGACAAAGAGGGGTAGCTGGAATGGTAAGCCCCCTCCACCTCCACCTCAAACCTTAAGGTTACAGGTTCGAGTCACCAATGGCAGTGGCGGAGCCACCTTACAATGAGGGGGTCATCCGAACCCCTTCGGCGGAAAATTATATGATTTATGCATGGTTAAAATAACTTTTTTAGATATATATAGTAAATGTCGAATCCCTTTCGGCTACTTCGTGTGTCTATTTTTTTAGATTTTGAACCCTGTTACTGAAAATACCGACTCCGCCACTGACCAATGGAGTAAAAAGGGTGGAACTTCCTAGGCAGAGGCAAAAAAAAGCTTAAATAATTCCACCCATCAGCTCCAAACAACAGTAATAAACATATAACATAACAGGTTCTAAAAATCTTGGATAAAAATCACATTTTTATAAAATAAAAAAGGGGATATAAAAGAAAAACAAACCTCAGTTTGAGTTTCTTTAAGAAAGTATTTGAGGGTTTTGGAGAAACCATTGAGGTGAAGATAATGGAGTATAGATTGTTGTAAACCAAACTTGTTTTCTTGATTCTGCTCCTTCTTAGCCATAACAAGATTGGATTTTGATGACTCTGCTAGAACTACCTGCCTAGGCTTGAAGGCTAGTAACAGAGCAGCTGCTGCTGAGGGAGAAGAGGTACTAGGGTTTTGCAGCTGCCTGGTTTTTGTTTCTGGTTCTAGCATATATTAAGGAAAGGGTTTTAGGGCAACTGATAAAAAATGAGTCTTTGCCTCGCAAATATAACTTGTGTGGTCGCTTACAAGAGTACAAGAACATGAAACATTGGAACAAAGTAAGAAAAAGGGGGTTGGAATAAGCTCGGAGATCTTATATTTGGTTCGGATTATTAATTAGATTTTTGTGTTTTTTTAATTTGTCAATTGAATACTTAAATATTACAAAATTTAGGATTTTTAATAATTTACATGGTCAATCGAACTTATGTATATGACATTGATATGATTGAACTGGACAAAATGTATGATTTACACGCACGTATTTTTACAGTGTAAATTGATGATTTTAATTTTAAGAATGACTAAAGTAAATAAAAGAAGAAGATAAACTCACTCTTGTAACCGTTCTGCTTGTTGATTGAGCATGTGTGGCATTCATACGATTGAATTTACATGCATATTTGGCGCGTGAATTGATGATTTTAATTTTAAGACTAAAATAAATAAAAGAAAAATAACTTATTCATGTTTATATTAGTTAACCTGAAACAAATACGATTTCAATTTCTATCAGGAAATTAACAATCCACGAATTGTTTATGTCACAATATTTGACAAATTACATTTTTATTTTCATATGATTTTTAATTTTGAGATTAGTAATTCATATTGTTTATACCAAATTGTGATGTTGTTTTTATTCCACACCTATGTAAAGGTAATTTTCTCGCACACTTTTTTACACTAATTTTATTGCATTAAGCATTAAAAATAATAAAGTAATTGTCAGTAGTTTTTTTATAAAAAGTATATATGTTTTATTTATTTACATGAATTGAAAAAGTATAGTTATAAGATGAGATTTTACTTGTCAAATTTGTGCCAGAATGATCTTTATCGAAAACATGAGGTACATATTTGATGGGCTCGATATAATGTAGCATTACCACCATTGGTATTCTTCAAAATGAGGAACGTGTTTATTAAATTAGCATATCAACTAAATGATTGACCTCTCGATAGATGTCTACTCTATGTACTATGCAGAGATGTTATTGTTGAAGAAGAAGGAAATTGACGATTGGAACATGTCCAACGAAGCTGACTAACGTGTCTGCAACAAGTGTTGATGAAGAAGGAAGCTGACGATTGGAATATGTCAAAGGAACAAGTTCAACGAAGCTGACTGACGAGTTTACAACACTGTTGTAGAATTAGAGTCACACTAGGATTAGACTACTTATATTAATTAAGATTATATTACGACTAGAATTATATTACGACTAGGATTAGATTATTTATAATTGCATTATTATTATTAGTATAGTAGTAATAGGTATTGTAGTAGGACTCTAAGTATAGTTAACTTAGGATTTTACAATTCTCTCCCTATATAAGGAGGTTGTAACTCAACATTATTTTCATCAATACAATCCTTGATTTCTCTAATCCTAGACGTGAGATTTCTACATGGTATCAAAGCATAAAAAGCTCTTCCGCTCTCTGAGTATTGATACAAAAAAAAAAAAAAAACGTTGCAATGGCCCCTTCTACCAGTACTATGTCGACCTCCTCACTTCACTAACTCATTATCGCTTGTTCCATTAAACTTAAGCCAGCAAACTACCTCATAAAAAGGACACACATATCCCAATTGATTCAGATCACAGAGAATGAACCAAGTAAAAGTAGTTGTTCCATTGGACAGACTACTAGGGAAGTTGTAGCGATTAAGAAGGATGCAAAAGATAGTGGCACTGTAACACCCCGTATTCAGAACAGACAAAAATACAGATTTCGAGAAGTTGCAGGTGCAACTTACGGTCACCATCCACGGACCGTAGGTCAGACCACGGCCCGTGCTGGTGGTCCGTGGTTCACCACTGCAACCCCTCCCAGACCTAGCTCAGAAAATTGGCTAAGTCCTGACTTACGGACAGACCCACGGTCCGTAGATCAGACCACGGACCGTGGTCTGTGTCCGTAGATCGAGACTTCCCCTACCCAGCCTCTGACACAAACTACGATCGACCAGCACTGACCGTCAATTGATCCACGGTCCGTAGGTCTGA